TTATACTCTGATGCCAGAGGCTGTTACATACTATTCCATTCACATGCCTGCTCCTTCTTAGCGGGAGCAGTTTGGGGTTCATGTGTCTAGCCCAAGGAAAACTCGATATGTGGCTGAAGGGGCTGGGGACTGAATCCCGGACCTTCCAACTGAGAGACGACCAACTCTACCACTCAGAAAAATACAAAACCCCTAAAACAACACAACAGCATAAATAGTCTCAAAGTAAACATGAGAGGCTGCAATGGAATATCTCTCCCTCTCTCTCTCTTTGCATGTGTGTAAGAGGTATAGATAGAGAAGATTTCATCCACTTATAAATGGTTAATCATCATTCCTCTGGTCAGTTGAAAAAAAAAAAGGTAAAAACGGATAAAATAGAACTACGAGATGTAGTGGGATGTACATGAGGTCATTGTGACCTTAACATTTTATCTTTGATCGGCATAATCCAATTTACTCAGCTTTGATTCCAAAGGAAAGTTTTGCTAAAGTCAAAGACATTTGTTTCAGGCGTTTCTAAGATATAACTTTTACAACAATGTGACAGAGAACCCAAAAACCTCTAAAGTAACATAAAACAATATCAATCCAAAAGTATAGAAGTTAAAGTCTCATAAAATGGTAAAGTCTCCAGAAGTAGCTCTCTTAAAGGAACATTAGAACAGATCAGAGAAGAACAACAGCGGTACAGCTGCTCAGATGCAGAGACAATCAGACAAATGGATGAGGAAGTGGGCTGCTGTCCCAGGGAGCATTTTTCTGCTGATTAGCTGGTGAAAGCCCGCAGGCTTCTTTCTCAAGTATAAGCAGAACACATTTGGCTGAAAACAAAGTTTATTTCACTGTGATATGATAATTATTTCAAGTAAGTTATAAATAATGTCTACAGCTGTTAAGTTTATAGTTTTCCTCAGTTTATAATCTGCCAAAAACCCTGAGAAATCATCCCCCAAGTCTTATCTTCTGGACATGATATCGCTGTTAATTGTCAGAAATGTCATCATCAGCTGAGTTTAAAAAAATACACAACCTTTCTCTCCATTGCATCATGACTAAACAATCCATCCCCGGCACCTCTCTCATCAGGTAAGTATGATAAACAAGACAAGAGTGATTTATTCTCTCTTGGCGCTTTGAGCTCTGTCTGGACTGAAAATATGCTTTAGCTTCCCAATGTTTTGGCTCAGGTCTGAATCCTTTCATATAGTGAGAGGGATGTAAGAAGAAGGGGAAGAAGGACTGAGGGCAGGGGATGGATGAAGCCAGCCTGAACAAGTAGAATATATTAAATCTGTATTTTCTATCATCACTCACATCCAGGTGCAAGGTGGATTATCAACATTTAGACATAATTAAACCTTTAAATCATAAGCTAGCAAGGGTGTCTTGCTAGAGTTAGCATGCTACTCGACACTGTACTTACACACTCAGAGACTAAACTTCTCTTGAAATCACCACCAAAACTCAAACATGCTGCCATTGTCAGTAAATGCATCTACATGCACATTTTTCATTCTTATTTTAACATTTCTGAAGGGGTTAGGACCTCCTGTTTTTAACTAAACAAAGTTAAAAATTTAAAAATTTAAATAAATTGATTGATTTACACTTTGGCAGAACCAATATTTGCAACCACACCTAATAGTTATGAGAAAAACAATCCCTAAATAGACACTACTTTTAGAACCATTTGTGCCTTTTGTAGGATAGGACAGTGTAAAGGATGACAAGAAATGTTGGGAGAAGACAGTGGGGGATGGCATGCAGCACATGTTGAGTAGGTAAATCGAACTTGTGACTGCAGAGAGGACTGTAAGCTCTGCACATGGGCCCACACTCTAACCACCCGGCAATACCTGCGTCCCATCCCAAGCACTGTAGCATCCTTTTCCATCACTTCCATGGTGTAAATGAGTGACAGGTGTCATGGCAAACCCCCCTTGATTGGCTGAACATTTGGATTTAATCCATTCAGCAAACACTGACTTTTCCGCACAAGTATCTCTTAACTTAAGAAACAATCTTTTTTACACATTGTTACACAAGTAACATATGTTTGTTCTTAAGTATGAATCACCACCATCACAACAGATTCTGTTAGAATAATGCACCAGCCGCCAGTGATCTCATACTGTCTGATGTTTATATATGCCAACAGAAACCATGCAGTCGACTTCCTCAAGGACTACATTTCAGCACCAACCCATTTAGTAATATCTCTTTGGCACATTTCCAACAGCTCACATCCCAATGCATAGGCCTCAAGATGAAGGGAATGCAGAAAATGAGTGCCTTTTTCCAGAGAGTCTGTCAGTATTGAGGGCTGTTCAAACACACCATTCTAAAAGGGGCCTCAGGTGGACTTTCTGCAGACCTCAAGACAGACTACATGCTGTGCTGACTTCACTTCAAAAACACAAAGTACTTATCATGAATACACTTGATGCACTGATAATCAACAGTGGTTATGTTGTGTACAGTCTGAAACAAAAGTATTCACTTCCAATAATTCATCCAGTCTGTAGGCGTGCAAAATTCCAAGTTTTTCTCCAAATATGTCGTAGCTCTGTTCCTTTTTTACACAGCTTTGTTATATAGTTGATTTTGATTTGCCAAGTATGCACAGCAGTGGTCTTCTATCCCTTTATAGCACACCATTGTTGGACAAAACAAACCGTTATTATGGAGAGCAGGTGGTTGCTAAGGATCCAGCTCGAATCACAGACTGGTCTGGAGAGCTAATTAGAAATAAGTCTAGTTAATTTGACGTTGTTCCTTTTACTGTGGGCAAAGAAGAAAGGGGACAATAACAGGTGAGAAAAAAAGGTTAAAAGATGCAAATCCTGCAGGCTTTGAGAAGTTAATCAACAAAACTGAAGATGGCACATGAAGGAAGGGACACGGTGGTGTCACCACAGGCGACGGCGACGAGGCAGAAAAACTCAGCCAGGTGCATCGCTGATTCAAGTGGATCTGTTCACCTTGTCTCACTTCATCATCGATGGAAATATTCAGTGCCATGTGAGTAATAACAACTAGTTTAGCTCATTTTTAGAAGCTAGAGAGTTAACTGTTGCTATGAACCCAGGTCTAACTGTCGACTCCACTGGACAATTTGTTTAGAGGAAGAAAAACAGTTTTAAAAAGCATTTCCAAATTAACAGTTTCATGTCCTATTGATTTCTTTGGTAGCTGTTCTTTGGTAATAGCTGTGTAATCAGTGGCATGATGTATCATGAGCGTCAGTTATTGCAAAATCAAACCCCTTTAGGTTGGATCACAATGGCAAACCATACCAGAGAAGAAGTAAACAAAACTGAACTTTCAAAAGAATAACCCTGAATTTACATTTTAAATTGTACCACATTACCCATTCACTCGATCTTTGGTTATACTTCTCATGCTCAAAGCAAATGTGACACAAAATGAATTTGACTGCCACAACAGAGCAGAGAACAGAAAGAAACCTTCCCTTCAGGTCATCCAGAGTTAGCAGTCGACTGTTTTAATCTGTTTGAGCTTGTTTTACTCCAGTTATCCTAATTTGTTGAGCTGAGTCAGACAGGAATTCATCTTGTTCCGCTCTTCCCATGTTTCTGCATGTGTCAGAGCTGGAAACACTCGTGCTCCTTGTAAGGATTGAGGCAGGTTCAGACACAGCCTAGCTGATCTGTGCAACACATTAAGAACACCCACGGCATGTGCTCCATTACACAGAAGCTGTTTCATGATATCCCCAAGTTCAAATCTTATTGTATGATCTCAATTCAAGGACATTGATTTTGATCCCCTACTCGGAACATGAAATACGCTAAATCGTGCGACAATGTCTTTTTAACTAACAGTTTATGCATCTGTATTCTTAAAACAAACTGTTAAATCTGTGTTTTAAATGACTAGGCTACATAGGTATGTGAAACACTGTCTACATTATAAGTCTGACTCAATGCAAAAACTGCAGTTCCCAAAGTGTCCACCTGAGGCTGTTTGGAAAAGCCCCAGAAGTCACACACATCCACTCAAAAATGCCCATTTTTACTGTGTACTGCCTAAATCAAAAATATAATTTGGTCTGAAGAGCTAAATTATTTATAGGGTAACAATGTACAGGGGGAGAAAGTTTTTAACTGATCTGTTTTGATTGAATACAGTCTAAGAGTTATACATCACTGGGGATCTGTGCGACAGGCGGATGGGTTGTAGCTTAAGGCCCGCCTTAGCTCCAGCTCTTTGCCTGTTATTAGGTTGACCAATAGTTAAATTGAGACAGCATTTCTATTATGGTGGCCTCCATCATTGGCTTCGCAAGTCCCCTTCAGAAACCAAAAGGGTGACATCACTGAGACCACATCCATGTTTTATACAGTCTACAGTCAGACTCTATCATTTTGTAATGTCATATAAAATCATAACAATCATTGTCACATTTCAAAGGTTGCCTGGGACATAATTTGAATACTTTTATGAGCACTAAAAAAGTCTGTTCAAATCTCTGAGGACAAACATCTGGAACACAATGCTAGAAGATGACTGAGCTCATCATCATCCTACTCACATTTACAGTGATAACAATTCAGTAAGCATCCATACAATTTAATAGACACTGTACCAGGAAGTGCCAGCAAGAGAAAGACAAGTTTGCTGACAAATTTTAATTTCAAACGGTAACTTTCTTGTTGATCACAGTTGATCTGTTTGGATCAGACCACATGTGATCGGAGGACCGATCATTTTTTAAGTCAGAAACAACAAAAAGCAGCATAGTGTTTGACATTCTATTAACACTGGCACAACTTTTTAAAAGAGATTTCTGTTCAATTCTGAATTAGCCAAATGCCTAGGATTAAAAAAATAGCTTTGAGGTGACAAGTAGAAGAACCACCCATAGAGAGAGGTGTGCGTACGTGCGTGCGTGCGTGCGTGTGTGTGTGTGTGTGTGTGTCAGTGATCCTTTGTACTAAACACCTAGTAAGCGAGAAGACACTGGGATCACTTACCTACTCTGAAGTTGGGTGCTGTCAGGGTGTCTGTAGCATGGCCGTTCTCACTGATGATGGTGGTGGTGTTTCCCTGCTCACAGTTGTTGTGACATCTGCCTCCTATGCAGGTTAACTTGCAGATGGTTGGTGTGAAGACCACCTTGATCCTCCCTGTGTGGTTGCCAACTGCCGCCGAAAACATGGCACAAACCAAGAGGGGGAGGGAGAGTAAATGGATTCTGGTTATTCTTTGATCCATTGAGGAGAAAAAAATGTAAAATGCTTTTCAAGTTGGACCTCGTCACAATGAACTGTTTAGTCTCTAGTCAAAACAAAAACCGACTGTGTAATTTTCAATTTTCAGATCTTTTGATGTCTCTTCCCTGCACTTATATACTTCCAACTATCCCTCTCTATCTGTTTCTCCTCCTCTTCCACTGCTCCTAAATCCAGTGGCGCCTCTGAAACGTGAGCAGGAATAAAAGAAAAAAAAAATCTGGAGAGCAAGAAGTCAGCAAACAAAACTCTGGGATGTCTTCCAGTTCCTCATTATAAGTCTCTGAGAGGTGGATATTGGCATCTGAGCGTACCGAGCATTATTCCAAAACAGACAAACAGCAGGCATGCCACCTTTAGCTCCTGTGCCGGCTTTTCTTGCTCTCTGGTGTCCTTCTCATACTTTCTTTCTTTCTTCCTTCTTAAATTTTACTACTGAGGTTTAGAAAACTATGCTCGGAACCTTTAGCACCTCAAATAGAGAAAACAAGCTCCAAAAATCCTCTGCGTTGAGTTAATAGCGAGATCAGGAAGAAGTTGTGGTAGCCCTTTTAAGTGCTGTAAGACTCAAGCTTATCTACCCGTCTCCTGTCTCCACCCTCATTAAAAACCCAGCCCTCAGTTCAGACTGACAGGGGATGAGTCAAGAGTCAAAACTTTGACATCCAACCCCAAAGTCCCTAACACATTTAATCCCTCTCTCTATTTCTGACAATAAATCTCATCTGATATATATCTTGACACTCAAATTCTTTTGACCTAAATCCCTCTGCTTCATCTTTACATGTATTTTTTTGTTGCAGCGGGTCTTGGCATCCTTGTGTCAGGTCCAAACCCCTGTCTCCAGTGCTGGGTGCTTTGTCTGTAGCTGTCAGCTGTTCACACCAGAGAGTGCAGACGCGTGGAGATAAGCCAAGCAGCCGGAGGAATGTTTTCTAAAACTGAGAGGCAGGAAAATCCACTGGATAAGACAGCCCGAGGCTACCTAAACATTTGCTAATAGATGCAAAAAAAAAAAAAATTAACTATTAAAGAGGGAGCTAATACGATGCAGTGGTTACCACTGAATGCCGATGAGGTGGGCTGAGGAAAACTGCGCAGACAAAATATGGAAGGTCATGATTCAATGTCTTTTGCCTGATTCCTTTTAGGATGGAGGATTACAACAACACTGTAAAAACACAAATCCAAAAAAGTGAATGTGTCTAATTTCTGGTCATTCTGCATTCATAGAGCAAGCAAAATATACTTGTTAAGTTTCTTAAAATGAGATACGATGTCAAATCTGAGATGTAATGACACTTATAAAGTCAAATTTGTCTTATTAAAATATTTGATTTCTGGTCTTATTTTTTATTCTCGAAACATCATTAAGGCCTCATTTTCAATTATGTCGGGAGTATGAAAAAAACAGAACAAATATAAACCAAATAAATAAGAAATAATAGCAACAACATTATTAAAAACTGAGACATTCAAAGGCAGAGTAGTTTGTTATCATAGTTTTGAATTGACCCTTGGGGAAAAGTCTGTGAAGTTTTAATGTATGTTGCAAAGTGTCCATATGAATGCAGTAAAGAAGCTAAAAGCTGGCATTTCTTTGCCCGTGTAAATGGTAAATGGACCTGTGCTTGTATAGTTTTTTTCTAGTCTTCAGACTACTCAAAGCGCTTTCACACCACATGTCACACCTACACATTCACACACTGATGGCAGAGGTTTCTATGTAAAGTGCCCATCAGAAGTAACTAATTGATTCATACACTGCTGATCAAGCAGCTGGAGCAATTTGGGGTTAAGTGTCTTGCCCAAGGACACATCAGACATGTGGCTGCAGGAGCTGGGGATCAAACCGCCAAACGTCCGGTTAAGAGGCAACCGACTCTACCAACTGAGCCACAGCCGCCCATGTGTGATTCCAAGCATTATTAATTACAAGAGCTCTGCCCGCACCCCCCACCCCCCCAAAGATGTAAACCTAGGGGAAACACTGAAATGTGTCCTATAAAACAGTGTAATGAGATATTTTTAAGTACAAATTAGATGAATACACATGCTAAGATTTGAATTTTTTCAGTGAAAAGTTTCTCTAATGCAAGTTATGTTTCTCTAAGTTTCTCAAGGCTCTTGCTCCAAGACTTAAAAAAAAAAGCTCTTACATTAACCATATTGCTATTTTTGTTTCTTATGAAGTCTTTTTCAGACTTTAAAATGTTTTCGTACCAGTATGATTTCACAGACTGGGACACCAATATCACGCCATCATGGAAACAATATGAATGCACAAGGACGCGATGACGGCTGAGCTTAGTTACGGCACTTGTTGAAAAGGGTCAACAATATAAAAACAGGATGAGAGAATTTAAGAATTTGTGTAATGAATTTGAAAAACAAATAAAACGGGGCTCATGAGATTTTTCAAACAAGCATAGAAAACATTTTGAGTCAAAATAATTCTTCATGTCAAAAACTTAGTTGAAATATGAACATTTCCCAAGTGTTAAGAAGCTGATCACAGATATGCCACCGTTTTATCTCCATTGAAATTATGGGGCCAGTATAAGTAAACTGCTAATTGTGAAGATATTGCTTGGAGTTTTTTAAATGACTAAGATCTGTATAAACTGAGCACGTTGTGTGAGTTAGGCTCTTTGGTTAAGATCTGACATCAATTCAAACAGGAATATGTTGGCCAACTAAGCAGTGTTGGAAGAAAGTTTGAGTCTGCAAACACACCCTGACAAAAAGAGGTAAGCTAGCACAGTGTCAGAGAGTTCATGTGGGTCTACGGCCTGCCATCCACAGAACACTGCAATCAGTGAAGTTACAGCAGGCATGTAACTCAAGCTTTGCTTTGTTGGTCCATCTCCTCACAGCCTTGACCACAGGCTTTGTAGATTTTAGCTTCTGTCTTTAAGTCTGGAGATGATGATGTAGCTTAGAAACAGTACTGTAATCTTGGATATGCCAACCAAGCTAGGTCATGGCAGTGGATCTGGAGAAGTCTTTGTTTGTTGAGAAGCCAATTGGTTCATTTTGTTGGCCGGAGAATAGACTTTAGCCAGACATTGAGCCCCATAGCGGCACTCCCCTTACCCTGTCTTGAGCAAACCTCATGAAGAGCTGCTGCTACTCCTACAAAAGTCTCTGTCAAGAGAAGTGGGTCTATGAAGAAGGATGAAAAAAGTCTAACAAGTGAATTGGGGAACATTAAAAAAGTCTTCTTTACTGACTGACAACTGAGTCAGAGAACTTTCCTGGGTTGTCAACATATCAGATTGTTTTTGATATCACAGAATTTTCTTCTAGCCACCATTAAAATATAGCAGAAAGTATACTTGACATTTGCACATTGTCTTTTGACCAATCTATTCATTTGACAGATGGACTGAAAAAGAAGTCCAGGTCCAGGAATAGGACATAGTATGTATGAAAAACTGGTTGACTCTTTCATACCGAAGCACACTTATGTGGCATATTTTAGCAATTCTTTGGAAATTTGAAAATGCAGACTGCACCGGGCTGAAGAACTGTTAGTTCCTGGGACTTAAAGTTCTGGGTACTTTGGGTTAATTCATGACTAGATTGATCAAATCAGTGCTTAACCTAACTGTGCAGTCAGAGAGATGTCTCTGACCTGCTGCTAAATGTACCAAAAGAGCAGCTGCTGATAACGGTCCATCATGCTGGACACAGGACTCACACAGACCACTGATGGCTAAATGTTTGTCCTATTGGTGTAAAATGGTGAATGACCTACATTTCACCTATGAGCCACTGGGACGTCACGGCAGGGATTTTAGTAGCTTGCCAAGACAAGCCTTTCCCACCTCAGTTCAATCAAATACACATATGACCCAACTCCTTCAATATAAAATAATAGAATAGGCATCAGCTGTCAACAAAAAAGGTGATGCTCCTGTCCAGTTTGTCAATATCTGAACCTTTCTAATCACATCAACATAGCTGTAATCTCCATCACCATATCTGGCCAGTTGTGCTGTATGCTAACTGATCTTATATAAAGAGTTTGGTGTTAATCACAAGCCCATTTAGCCCAAATTAACAATGTAGAATGAAGGTGGCCATGCCAAGAACAAGCATAAAACATACCATTTCCATTGGGAGTGGAAAAGCAAATGGGTCCTTTAATGTAAGTCCACAGCAACATTGAAAGGGACTTTCCTGCAAGCAGCATGCAACAAACTGAAAAGGTGAGCGTACTGATTAACATCAATCTCTATTCACCCGACCAATGAAGAAAGCCAACATGGTAACAGAGGCATCCTTTAAAGTGGTGCACATCCTAACAGAGCACAGGAAGCCATTCACCGATGGCCGGATTGTGAAGGTAGCATTGACCAAAGTGGCCGAGATGTTATTCAGGGACCATAAAAGTAAGAATGAAATAATGTCTGCTAATGCTAATGTACAGTTTTGTGCACACACAGGGGAAGAGCGTTAGGGTATTGACATTTGACACTTGTGAACATGAAGTTAATTCAGCTGGTGAATCTGTTTTGATCTGACATAATGTAAGAAATGTGATGCAACTAGCTCTTAGCCACTACATTTTTCAAAGTAGCTCTCAGGTTAAAAGAGGCTACTACACTGACTAACCACTAAAATAGTTAAGAGTTTCCATAGTTGTGTACACAGTCAATATATGAATGTTGATGTGCTTCAAGGGAGAAATACTGGACTCTCTTTACACAGAAATGTTTGAGCAATGCTTCTAATGAATTGCTTTTTAAATTACCTCTGTATATTTCACAATCATACAATCATACTAATCCTGTCTAGACTCGACTCAACTTATAAACTTTTTTTTCTCCCCCTCTTAGACCCCTCCCCCCTCATCTGGCTTCACTTCTATGCCTTTGTAAGTATGCACACAGCACTTTTTCTTC